GATTATGTAAGCAAAATAGCTACTAAAAATAAGCCTAATATTTAAAACAAAACTATATCCTTTATCCTTTTTTAATATTTTTTCAAGATTAAAATAGCTACAAAATATTAATAAAACTATTTTTTTTTGTAATTTTCGTTTTNCCCTTGCCTTGTCCGTGCATTTGTAGCCAATGCCAAGAAGATGGACCCCACGTGTGTAGGGGTCCAAGATTTGTGTCCCCCATGCGCGGTGGGGTTCCCCGTGTACGGTGTTCCGTCCGTGTTCCCCATGTTTGTCCTCCTTGTGTGGTGGATTCAGATTATTATTGGCTAGGTCCGAAAATTAGGCCTAAAAACGGGTAGTTTGAACCCGAATATTATTCTTTTGCCCGGACCCGAGAAATAGGAACACGACGTTGCTCAACTGATTATGTAAGCAAAATAGCTACTAAAAATAAGCCTAATATTTAAAACAAAACTATATCCTTTATCCTTTTTTAATATTTTTTCAAGATTAAAATAGCTACAAAATATTAATAAAACTATTTTTTTTTGTAATTTTCGTTTTTATATAAAGTAATATTTTTGTATTTTTTCAAAATTAAAATGACTACAAAACATTAATAGAACTATATTTTTGGTAATTTTTGAAATTATGTAAAGTACAAAATAAGGTACTATTTTTTGTATTTTTTCAAGTTTATGAGAAATACATAAACTAAAATTTATATATATATTTTTGGTAATTTTCTTTTGCGATGAAAATAAAGTAAAAATAGTTAAAATAACTATAATAGCTATATTAGACCTAAATTAAATATTTACGCAAAAAATGTGAAAATTCCCGGGGAGGGTCAAAAATCACGTGTCTACAACTATCTCTAGGTTGAAACCTCAAACAGGGTTAATCAATCTCTCAATTGACCCAATTCCTTGTTAGCTAAGTTAACCTAGACTAGGCCTCTATTTCTCAAGAAGGGACTAAGTCAAATAGGCATAAATTAATTTTTGCAATCATTAATTTCACAATTGAGGCATAAACCTAGCTAAATAACAAACACACATTCATAAACAAGCATAAAATTAATCACCCATAAGGTTTAGACACTTGGGTTGGGTCACAACCCTAGTAAAAATCTAGCTACTCATAGTGGGTATAGAAGAAAATAAAGAAGAAAAGATATCATATTGAAAGATTAAAATATATAAACCCAATGTTAAATCACTAAAGTAAGCTAAAGTTACCTAAAGAATCAAGAACAAACGGCTACAACACTTTGAATATTCAAAACTTGACCTAATTTCGTGAAAATATTCTATTTGTACAAAGCTGAAATTTTCGGACAAAAATACTCTATCGGAGATTCTACGGCCGCACAATTTCATGTGCGGTCCACACTTTATTTCAGTCTTTACAGGGTTTGAATTTGCGACCACACAATTCTGAACCACGGCCGCATCTCTCATATTCTGCGGTCCGCACATTTCTGGGTGCGGCCGCATATGGCTCTTCTACAGATCGCACATTTCTGAGTGCGGCCACGTAGCTGACTTTTGCGGCCGCACAATAATTGTGCGGTCCGCACAATAATTGTGCGGTCCGCACTTCCTTTTCTGTTGAAATGAGAACTCTCTGAACTTCTGATCTTGCTTAGCTTTTACGGCCACACTTTGCACTTGGTCTCTGATAAACTTTCCTTCATAATATGCGGTCGCAGATGGAAATCTATTATCCGCACTTTGAGCTTTTATGGTGATTTTGTCCTTGAATTCAGATCACTCCTTCTTGAGTTAGATTTCATCATAGTGGCTCATTTTTCAATACTCCTGCCATTAAGCATATTTCATCAGTTTTTGGGAATACAATTAAGCACTTTTGGACTAAAACGAAAGCTAAACGACGCTAATAAGTAGTCAAAATCCCCATTTATCAGTCATACAAAAGGACAAACCCGATTTTTACCGTATACATAACAAAATTCTTTTATTTGAGGAGGCAAGACATTAACATGTGAGTGTACGTGTTCTTTGTTAGATAATGACAATAGATATTTCCTATGGATAATCAATACAATATATTTAAAAAAAATTATACACCGTCAAATAAATGCTATTATGCAAAGTAAACGTAAAATACAATTTCTGGTAGGCAGCCATCATCAATTGTTTGAGTGGTGCTGTCCCCTGGTAGCAGATCCACTTCTTCCATCTTCCATGTGCCAAATCGAATAATTTTTCTTATGGTTACTTAAAAATATAACATCTCTTTCAACAGCATCTCGTTCTTTACCCATTTTATCCTTCTTTGTCCCCTTCAATCTAAAATTTAATTTTTAAATAGTGAATGAGAAAATATTATTTATAACTTTGAGGTTAATTTAAAGATATATAAAAATCAACCACTTTGATTTAGTTAACCGGTCCTGCTTGAATGTAGACTTGTGAGTACTAGACACTATGCCCTCTCGTGCTATGTATAAAAAAATTAGAGTTCTTAGCGAAAAATAGGTCGTTAAAATAGATGAAACATTTTCTTCTACTCTTTAATACTCCCTCTGTTCCAATTTATGTGAATCTATTTTCTTTTTGGTCCGTTCCAAAAAGAATGAACTCTTTCTAAATTTGGTAACAATTTAGCTTAAAGTTACAACTTTACCCTTAATGGGAAGCTTTTATAACCACACAAATACTCTGGGCCCCATTTAAACTTGTTTAGGACTACAAATTCCAAAAGTCTTCATTTTTTACTTAAACTCCATGCCCAGTCAAACAGGTTCACATAAATTGAAACGGACGAAGTAATCATAAAACAATGAATGAATCAATGTTTACGTCTAATTAATTAGCACTTTTAGTTATCAAAGCCTTAAAATTATGATTTTCCTTAAGGTGCACCCCCCCCCCCCCCAAATTTTGGTCCCGTAAAAATAACTGGAGAAGACAAAATAATGGACCTCCATTCTTCCCAACAAACTAAATTCCTTCTTGTATTTATCCTATTCCTTGCTTTGAAATAACAAGAACAAAGTACACAGTAAGAAGCATAAATAAAGTCTTACCAACTAAATAACACGCATCACTTTTGTCCTTGATTTGTTACTTTAACATTTATTTTGCTCTACATCTTCACTCTTCAGTGTAAACACATCCAAGATTTTGCAGATTCGTTAATATTCTGTTGGGGGTGTGTTTTACCGCTAAAAATGAAAGCAGTTACAAGTTTCTTGTTATCATTATATAGCTGCGTAGTTGAGCTTGAGTACAAAATTTGTACTGATAATGGAAAAGTATCATAAATTATATTAGTGAAATATAGATATACTGTGAGTGTGGCAATGGGATCTGTAAATGAGTTGTATTCAAGGGAAGAGTTTAATGTGGAAAGCAAGTGGTTGATTGATCCAAAGCTTCTTTTAGTTGGTCCAAAGATTGGTGAAGGTGCTCATGCCAAAGTGTATGAGGTAAAGTAAGTTGACTTTCTGTTCAATGATCTGTTTTCTTGCTTTAATTTGGACCTTTCAATGGAAAATGTTTAACATTTCAAATGTTAATGCGGATCCTGGATTTAAAACTTGATTTAGTCCAGCTTAACATATTGTACTTTTCAAAATTGTAGGTTCAAAATGTCGTATTTGTTGAAAAAAATTGGGGTCAGTTGAATCCATTAAGTATAAGCTGCATCCGCCTCTGTTCAAAAGCTAGACGAGTTAGTAAATAAAAGAAAAACTATATTGATATATTATGGATTGTTATACAATGCTTATTCCTCTGGGGACATGATGGATATAAAGATTGGTTTTTCACTGCTTATCGGAGAGGAAAAAAAGGAAAGCTTTGTTTTTACTGATTTGCAGAAACAGTCTGTTAATTCTAAATGTTTTGTGAGCATTGGTGATTGGATTTTAATTCCATAGCGTGATCTCAAACTGGCACATGACTATAGTTCCAATTTTTATTTCTCGTATTCTATTCGGAAATTGTCATCCCGAGGAGGGGTAGTTTCAAGTATCTCGGGTCTATAATTCAGGGTAACGGAGAGATTGATGATGAGGTCTGGGATGGATGAAATGGAGGCTCGCATCCGGTGTTTTGTATGATAAGAAGGTGCCACCAAGACTTAAGAGTAAGTTGTACAGAGTGGTGCTTAGACCTACTATGTTGTATGGGGCTGAGTGTTGGCCAATCAAGAACTCCCATGTTCAGAGGATGAAAATAGTAGAAATGAGGATGCTGAGATAGATGCGTGGCCATACCAGGAAAGATAAGATCATGAACGAAGTTATTCGGGACAAAGTGGGAGTGGCCCCCATGGAGGATAAGATGCGGGAGTTGGGGCTAAGATGGTTCGGGCACATGCATAGGAGGAGTACGGATGCTCCTGTTAGGAGGTCTGAGAGCCTGGCCGCGGCGGGGCTAAGAAGGGGTAGAGGAAGGCCGAAGAAGTATTGGGGAGAGGTGATTAGGCATGATATGGCGCTACTTTAGCTCACTGAGGACATGACCCAGGATAGAAAGGTGTTGGGGTCGAAGATTAGGATAGTTGGCTAGTAGGTAGTTGAGAGTTCCCCGTTCTTTTTTAGTAGTATTAGTAGCTCCCTTGTTTTTTCGTTCGCTCTTTGTATCGTATTTTCCAGTTTGTTAATAGTTGATGCTATTTTTATCTTTTACTTGTTATTTCGTTGTTGTTGTTGTTGTTGTTGTTGTTGTTGTTGTTGTTGTTGTTGTTGTTGTTGTTGTTGTTGTTGTTGTTGTTGTTGTTGTTAATGTAGTTGTCTTTTCCACTTTTCCTTATCGTCCCTTGTCCCCCTATTCTTTCTTTCTTCTTCCTCTTTCTTCTTCGTCTTCTTCCTTTCTCTCTTTTCACCTTTTCTTGAGCCGAGGGTCTATTGGAAATAGCCTCTATACCTCACCAGGCAGGGGTAAGGTCTGCGTACACACTAACCTCCTCATACCCTTCTTGTGGGATTATACTGAGTATGTTGTTATTGTTGTTATTGTATGCTATTTGGAAATTGTCACTATTTTGAGTACTATGGTCTGGCAATGTTTGTTACATCTTGATTTCTAGTTTTTATGCAGTTTGGCTTTCTTTATTTACATGTGTTTGTCTTCAGATACAAAAACCAGAATGTAGCAATAAAGGTGGTCCATAAAGGGGAGACACCGGAGGAGATTGTCAAGAGGGAAGCTCATTTTGGAAGAGAGGTTGCGATGTTATCCAGAGTTCAACACAAGAACTTAGTGAAGGTTGCATTTGATTTCCAAAACTGAAATTTGCAGGCAATTAATTAATTACTCATATATAGCAGTTTTCTCATTTACAGTTCATGGGAGCTTGCATGGAGCCTATCATGGTAATCGTGACTGAACTTCTAGGTGGGACGTTAAGGAAGTACTTGGTGAACACGAGGCCAAGATGCTTGGATATGCGTGTTGCTATTGGATATGCCTTTGATATAGCTCGTGGAATCGAATGTTTGCATTCCCATGGAATCATCCATCGTGACCTAAAACCTGGTAATACTTATAGATTTGTAGTCTCCTGTCTTCGGGTTGCACGCCTCTTCCTAACAAAAATTGCTATAGATGTTCCTATTTATGTGAATGAGTGGTGACAATAGGTAACTTACTACAAGGATAGAAAACCGTAGATGACGTTGGCTTACAAAGATGGACTTTTGACAATAATACTAGTAGTTCTGGTAGCTAAATCACATATCAACATTCAGATGATATGCAATTCACAGGCCATAAAAATGTTGCTTTCTGATTTGTATTGCGTTCGCAGAAAACTTGCTTCTGACAGCAGACTACAAAAGTGTGAAACTTGCTGATTTTGGTTTGGCAAGGGAAGAGTCAGTGACAGAGATGATGACAGCTGAAACTGGAACATATCGTTTGATGGCCCCAGAGGTAGATTCTTGAACCACTCTGCTCGTAATTTACAACCGACAAATTATGCTTATTTTTGTTGGCAGCTTTACAGCATGGTCACTTTAAGGCAAGGAGAGAAGAAGCATTATAACCACAAAGTGGATGCCTATAGCTTTGCAATTGTTTTATGGGAGCTCATACATAACAAATTACCCTTCGAGGGCATGTCTAACCTGCAGGCTGCCTATGCTGCTGCTTTTAAGGTATATAATTATCCTCTCTTTTTCTAGTAAGAATGGTAGGATAATCACTTTAGAATTTGCTTTTTCTATGTATTTCAGAATACCAGGCCAAACGCCGATGATCTTCCTCAGGATTTGGCCTTAATAGTGACTTCCTGTTGGAAAGAGGATCCAAATGCTCGTCCCAACTTCACTCAGATAATACAGATGCTTCTTTCGACAATTTCACCACCACAACCTCCCAGGATTTTCACTTCACAAGCTGCTGTCTTGCCACCAGCATCTCCAGGTATGAGAACCTTAATGGCCAAGCGTGATGACTCATGTGAGACCCCTACAACACCCATGGAGAACCCGTCAAGTCGTTTCTTCTTTGTTTTAGCCAATGTTACTGATCCCAATGGTTAACTACTCTCTTCTAGGAAGCTTATAAAATGTTCAGCCGCACTGTGGGGGCATTTGCACGAACGGCCTTCTCTGAGGCAACTATTTAAATTCTATCCCCGTTAGCCCAGTAAGCTAAATTTGTTCAAACTACCTTTTTATGTGAAATTTAGTCCAACTGGGCAAGAATTTAAAGAATGGCCACAAAGGACATATATATGGTGCAAATAGTCCGAGAATTAGTTGTTGTAGTAATTAGTAGACCATGTAATGTTGAACGTGAAGGTGGTTGCAGGGAGGTGCTTGATTAGACTCCATTGATATGATTCTGAGCATCTTGATGCTGGAGGTGGGGTTGCTGCGATGTACGGGTTTGGCAGTAGCTTTGGTTCAAATTATGTATTTATCTTATTATTTTTATTAAATACAACAACAACAACAATAACTACCCAGTAAAATCCCACATAGTGGGGTCTGGGGAGGGTAGTGTGTACGAAGACCTTACCCCTACCCTGGTAGGACAGAGAGACTGTTTCCGATGGACCCTCGGCTCAGAATGACAGAAATAGAAAAAAACAAGGAAAACAAGAAAAGAAAAAAGAATTCATTAGTAACTCCAGTAAAAATTATTATAGTAACAGAAGCATAAAAATCAAAAGATGAATGACATGCAATAACAGTAGCCAGAGTCTAGGGAATCTAAGATAAACAACAAGAATAGTGTGGGTTCAACATAAACTGCAAACCATCTAAGATCAACCCCAATCCAACCCCGCCTCGCCCCCGGCATGCAGAAAGGCAAGCTCTACTACCCCTATCCTACAACTCTAATGCTAGTCCTCCAGGCCTTCCTATCAAGGGTAATGTCCTCGGAAATCTGTAGACGAACCATGTCCTGCCTGATCACCTCTCCCCAATACTTCTTAGGTCTCCCTCTACCTCTTCTCGTGCCCACCACGGCCAACCGCTCACACCTCCTCACCGGCGCATTGATGCTTCTCCCCTGCATGTGCCCGAACCATCTGAGCCTTGCTTCCCGCATCTTGTCATCCACAGGGGCGACTCCCACCTTCATCCGAATATCTTCATTCCTGATCTTGTCTATCCTAGTGTGCCCGCACATCCACCTCAGCATCCGCATCTCTGCTACTTTCAACCTCTAGATATGAGAGTTCTTAACTGGCTAACACTCTGCCCCATACAACATTGCCGGTCTAACCACCGCTCTATAAAACTTACCTTTGAGTA